AAACTCTGCCTGTTTTTCTGACTTTGATATCATCATTTTTCACATATTACACTTTTCGGTTTTGATGATTTTTGACAATCTAGGTCAGCACCTAGAACACTCGAACATTTGTGGTATCATATTAAAAAGTGATAGGGCTGAGATGCTGATGGTTAGACACCACCTAGCCTGGAAGGGTCTGGAGGATTGTTGTGTTAATGCCCGGCAACCACTGGTTTTCTTGGATTTGCTTCATTCTCATCAAAACAAGACAAAACCCAAATGGCCAGCTGTAAGTTTGGTTTAAGAGTTAGTGATATTTCTTTCTTGAAACATGAATACTCCTTATGTTGTCATTATTTTAAGTGCTTTTTACTGTATGTTGTAACAAACTTTGTGTTTGTCTTATGTTTATATGCCTTTATTTCCTGGGCTTTTCCTTCTCTTTGTTATGTGTAGATTAGTAAATGACTTTGTTGTAATGGGCTTGCTTTTTGTCACATTTGGGGTCCAAAATATAATTTTTCATAGTAACAATTACAAAATGGTGTTTAAAACCTTTCAAAGTAGATTGAAAATGTTCATTAACACCTTTCAAAATCCTGTAATTGAGCACAATACTTTTTTTCCTTTTTTTTTTTTTTTTTCAAGTTTTATGCTGCATCGCTTGCCAGAGAGAGAGAGAAAATGAGAAACCACTCCCCAGGGGAGATGGCTGCACCACAGTTCCTTCTTCATTCTCCTCTTGGGGCATGCACACACACCAGGCATGATTTTAGAGCCACCAGGTCTGGGACTTGAACCACAGTTGGTCGTGTGGAACGCAGCACCTTAACCTCTGTGTCACCAGCCAGCCCTGAGCACAGTACTTCTAAAGTTTTCATCAGGGTTTTCTGCCAAGCGTTCCTTTCCCCCCACCTTCCCCAGCCTCATGGTCTTTAAATGGGAAAGTGTTACTGTGACAAGGAAATGAGGTAGCACCGGGGACCATCGTGGGCTACTTTCTACTTTCTGTGCTTCTTTGGTGGTAGGTCAGTATCTGCCTATGAAAAGCACAGGTAAGATAGCCTCTGAATTCAGATGAGCTAGCTGAATTTTTTTACACTGAATTTATCCATTGAAGAAATCCTAAATTTAGTTTTGGAACTTAATGAGAACTCTTGGTCTGACGTTAATTAACCTGCAACGAGAAATAGAGCCACTGAAGAGGACTGAGAATTTGGCAGGCCATTGAGCTGACTTAATTACAAAGCAGCCTTTCAAAAGAATATTCTACAAAAAATCAGCTATATCCATTGATGCTAGGTTCTTGCAGAATAATTCCAGTCAGAAGGGTCTCGGGTTAACCTAAGACTTAGATTTGGCAATGAATGAGGAAGGGATGCCTGTTGCATGAACACTTGATAAAAGTGATCAGATGTTCTTGGAAGGAAGTCGGGGAGATGATTACAGATAGAGACCAGCTTATTGAAAACACTGTGTCACTTAGTTGGTTTCCATCTCAAGCAAGTATTCCAGACTTAGGACACTTGAAACTTAAAATACACAGAGTGTGGGGACCAGCACAATGCATGCACTGAAAGTCGGCTGTCTGAACTGGCAGAATGATGTGTACACTTTGGCTTTTAAATATATTGGATGTGGAAGTAGAAGGGCAGGAAGTGGTAATGAGACAGCTCCGATAAATCCATTTGAAATATCAAATGGATAAATATGAATTCTTCTAATTTCCCTACTCTTTAATGAGAGAGATCCTCAGCAATGTTGAAAAGGTAAGATTTTTGTTTGTTTGTTTATTTACAAGAGAGAGAGATTAGTTTTTGACAAGGTCTCACCATGTTGAGATCCTCCAGCCCCGGTCTCCCAGGGCTTCCTAGGACTACAGCCTTGGTCTATTGCACCTAAACTGTTCATTTTGCACCAGGAACTGAAATAGGGCCTCCCATGTGGCCTCAGCTCATGTGAGACAGTGTCTTGGGATGTGCCACCATGGCTGAGGTGAAAAACAAAAAAAAACAAGAGACCCTGCACTTGGTAAGGGTAAAGATGCATGGATTCCGATAGCACTGCCAGCCTACACAGAAAAATACTCAAGACTTTAAGATGAGGGGCATGCTGTGCTTCATGGAAATACATTTGTAGGACAAACTGGAGCAGCAAACCCAAGTTTTACACCCAAGGAACCCTGGTCCACTGAGGTGGGCAGTAGATTGATAGCTGTTAAAACCAACAGGTACGAAGAAGCTGAGATCCGATGTGTGTATTCAAACAACGTTTTCCCTGTTCTCATCTGTGTCCAAATACTGTCTCATAGACTCCTTTATTTCCATGTCTTTAGCTACTCTCTGCTCTGCTATTCCCAAGTGTTGTTGACAAAAGAGATAGCTTACAAAACACAGCATCATTGATCCCAAATCCTACTTTCTCTCAAGACCCTCTACACTTACTGGTTGGCTGGGACTCAGCCATTTTTAATCACAATGGTGGCCAATATCTGATCCCATCTTGGTGTAATCACTTTGCCTGGGCCATGTCATCCCCCAGGCTACTGCTTTCTTCAGCTTAAAAGTGAAATGGTGGATTCTTACTGATTCTAGGGCTAAAATTCTGTGGCTGAGCTAGCATAGACTCAAGACAGCGGCCATTTTGACATTGGGCAGACAAGAATAGAATGGGTACTCTGGAAAGGGAGCTCAGAGGTGGTCCAGGCCAGTCTCTTCATTTCACGGATGAGGATATTGAGGCTCATGGCCAGTGAGTGACCAGCTCAGAGCCACATGCCTAGTAAGTGACCCATGGATAAAGACAGCCACATCTTGATTTTGCCTGTCAAAGTTGTTGATTAGCATTGTGTATTCTGGGGTTCCGGAACTACTTAACATTCTGAGGAGCAGTTTTGTACATTAGCCCACTCCCAACTTCATGGCAACAAATGTTTCTGATTAATTCTGACTTTGCCCTATTCCCCCTTTTGCCCTTCTAGATCATACTCCACTATGCATATGTTGAAGCTTTATTTTGTGTATACTGTGTGATTTCATTCATTTGTCAAATGAACTTCCCCAGTATTTACTATTGGCCTGTAACTTGTCTGACATGCTCTTTTAAATTTTTTTTTAGGGTTTTGTTATAAGGTATGGGCGCTTGTCAGACACAGGGAGAGGGAAATTGAGAAATCATCCACCAGGGAGAGTGGCCACACCTCAATGCCTTCTCCTCCATTCTTCCCTTGGGATTTTGGGCACACACTCACATACACCTGGTGTGATTTTCAACCCACCACGTCTGAGACTTGAACTGTGGTTGGCCATGTGGGAGCCCAGCACATTAACCACTATATGACCTGCTGGTCCACCAGATGTTCTAATGACGTGCTGAGGACACATCAGTGTATGAAACAGACAGGGATTTAAACCTCATGGAGCTTACCTTCTAGAGGACTGGAACCAAAGTAAAACAGACACCAGAGATGGTGATTGTCATAGCCACAAGTTATCGAACACTTTCTAAGTGCTGGTCAGTTGTCAATGATAAGCAGAAGTGAGCACTTTTAATACAGTAGCCCAATGAGCCACGTATTATTTTTAAAACGTTGAAATTGAATCTAGTCATTTCCAAACATCTTTTAACTAGTGATTGGTATGATTTGAAACCAGGTATTTATTTCAAGGTCTCTGATTACAGTCACCTCACCTTACTGCTTTGATGATAAGAATTGCTTCTAATGTATTGGCTGCTGCCCTGCAAATAAACCTAACGTTTTAGGAAATATTTTATTCAAACCACCACCATTTCTACAGCTGTTAATGGTTATTTCATTATCCTTGTATCATTTCCTCGTAGGTCTTGATTACTAAGCTTCCATGATAACTGATTGTATCATGTCCATGCTGGTCGAGATATAGAATGAGTAGCTTCTGGCTTCCTAGGGCTGTCCTCTGCTTCTTGTGTGAATATGAAGAAGCTTTTTGTGCTCTGCAGGCTCCTTAAGGGCCTTTCTAGGGGTCATCACATTAACCATTTTTAGAGAGTGAAGACTAAGTGACCATGAGAGCTGTTTCAAAGGAAGAAACTTCATTTGGATGTAAAAAATAAAACCACTCTTCAGATGATGTTTTCTGATGTTTGATGCTTCAGCTTCTTCAACAAACATGCTCTTGGCCCCACCTTAATTGTGTGCAAGGGATTTTCGATCTGTGAGACATTTGTCCCTGTGTCCCACTAAGAAAGTGTGAAATTTGTGGAGATCTTCATAGGTGTGCAGTCAAAAATGATATGTTGTCTGGGTGACGGAGAAGGTGAATTGGTTGTGGAGAAGCAGCGTGAGGTGGGCGGTCACATGTTTATGAATATCCACTAACCAGAGAGTAGAGTTATTTTCAGGTTTTTAAGAGTTACTTGTATAAATGATAATACTGCTTTTCTGGTTTAACCCTGAGCAATATGTGGGACTAAGGGACAAACCCAGAAGAGTCCTGGTATGACTAATAAATATGACTCTTCCAAACCGCCTTTAAGGAAGACTTTCCTTGTGCCCTAAATAAATGCTGAGGCAAAAAATGCAATTTATGTAACAGACAACAATGTTAATTAAGCATTAACATTTAAGAATGAAATTGTCTTGGTTTTCTCAAAGTTTAAGAGCTAGAAGTAGTTAACATCTGTGCCAGAAATTAGCCATGTCTTCACAGTTTTTCCAATGGGGAGAGTCCTAATGGTTCAATCGAAAAATCTAATTAAGACAGCTTTTTTTTTTTTTTCTTTGAGAGGTCTTTGCTATAGGGTGCGTGCGCTCGCCAGACAGAGACATAGAGACAGAAAGTGAGAAATCACCCCCCAGGGGGGATGGTCACGCCGCAATCTTCCCGGTGTGAGTTTTAAGCCACCGGGTCCGGGACGCGAACCGTGGTCAACTACGTGGGAGTCCAGCGACATAGCCATTGCGCTAACTGCTGGTCCCCCTAATTAAGAAAATTTAATCTGCCTATCATTCACAGTAAAACTTTTTTTCCTTTATCTAGTTGAGACGAGAGAAGATTGACCTTGAAAATACTTTGGAACAAGAACAAGAAGCACTAGTTAACCGTCTCTGGAAAAGGATGGATAAACTTGAAGCTGAAAAGCGGTTTGTTGAGTCTTACTGTTCATTATGGTGTGTGTGTGTGTGTGTGTCTGTCTGTCTGTCTCTGAAGCACTGTTCTGGGCATGACTGTAGGAGCACAATGGGACATTTTCATTTCTCGGGAGATGCCCATCATTTTAATTTGCCAAAGGGAAAAAGTATTGAAAGCCTTTGGAGTTACTCTTTTGTTGGTCCCCTCTTTTTGCTTTGCTGTCATACTGGCCCAGGAGAATTTCTTTTCATTTGGTGTTACAAGCCTATGACAGAATTGGTCAATGCTATTATTCATCTTTAAATAGTTCTCAGGGATGGTTGCAATTTCAACGTTTCCCCTTTATTGAACTGGAACTCTCAGGTCTCTTTAAGTATTTAGGATATGCTGTGTACTGTTAATTAGTACACATCTCTAGAATTTATTAGGAAGGCTGAGGTTTTTAATAGGAAAATTACTGTGTTAAAACACTTACTATGAAGAAATACCTGTATATATGTAAGGTTAGGATTCTTTGTTACATGTAATTTATGTATGTGGATGGAAAATGTCACTTAACAGCAAACAGTTCTTTGTGTCAGCCATTTATTTTTAAGCACTATGTACTTTGAGGGTGGGAGGGGCAGGGCTAATTAGAATAACAGGTAGGTTCTGTATGTGACGTTCGTGTGTAGAAAGTGAATTTCTTGAAAATACTCGTTAATCCACTTCATCAGAATCTTTTGTTTGCTACCCAAAATCCTTCTACCTTGACTTTTGGTTTGGGCACACATCCATAATTTGTTTTGTAAAATATAGACATCCTTTAGGAAAAGAGAAAATGTTTACAGGAAATGTTCAAGCTATAATTGAATCAACTATATTTTTCATTATCGTAGCAGCACTAGTAAGAAAAGTTATGGAAAGATCATTACAGTAATGTAAGTTTTCTGGAGGGTAGATTCAGAGGTAATTTCGTTTGTATTTGGGCAATCTCAAAGGTGAAAGTAAAAAAACAGAATAACCAGATATCCCAGCAGCCATTAGAAGGGGGTGCAGAGGTGTGTTGCTGGCCAGCCTTCCTTTGCAGAGCACAGTTGGGAGTTTTCCACAGGTTAGTAGAAATTACTGGGTTGAGCAATATGGAATTGTCAGTTTGTAGATCAAAAGCTGTAGAATGTCAGCATTTTATCTGCTTCGACCTAGTGATAACTGGTGAAGGTAGTATTGTACTATCTGTTATTCCCCAAATAGCTGTTTTGTCATTAAGTTTTTACTTTTACGTTAACTAGGAGTAAAGGGCCCCCAGTTTGCCCTGCCCTTAGGATTGGTTTGGCAGGAGGGAATTTTAACAGCCGAACCTCATAGTAGTTCATAGATTTCAACCAAAAGCATCAGGAATGGAATCCATTAGTCTCTGTGCTTAGAACCCACACGTTGAACATTCAGTCAGCAGATAGTTCTGAGTGCCTGCTGTAGTCCAGGAATAATAATGAGTATCAAATGTTGCAGACTTTTCAGTGATGCTTAATTACCAGTGGTCATTTAAAAGGAAGAAAGAAGATAGCTTCTTCAGTTCTGCCCTTTGACCGGAGGTGTTAAGCAAACCTGTGGATCCTGGCAATTAATGAGAGTTCTGAGAGTTCGCTTTAAAAGGAAACTTCCAGCTGGTGTGTTGTTTTGTCTTTTAAAGGCAAACTGTTTTCATGGTTGGAATTTTTGTTTTCAATAAAGAATCCTGCAGGAGAAATTAGACCAGCCTGTCTCTGCTCCACCATCACCTAGAGATATCTCCATGGAGATTGATTCTCCAGAGAACATGATGCGCCACATTCGGTTCTTAAAGAATGAAGTGGAGAGGCTGAAGAAGCAACTGCGGGCCGCCCAGTTACAGCGTATGTAGCCTCTGCTATCATCCGTCTTCTGTCTATAGAATTCAGACTTAATAACATAGAGGTGTTCCTGATACTTACCATCGTTGGCATTAATCAAATTGGGGTTATGTTTAATCACTGATAAGTGTTTACATACATGTATTCATCTTTCTGGACTAGATTATTATTATTTATTTATTTTGAAAAGAATGGTTTAACTTTATTTATTTTAATTTGACCAGAGTGGGACAGAGTGAGAGTGAGAGAGAAAAAGTGAGAAAGCAAACCACCGGGTCTAGGACTCGAACTGCAGTTGGCTATGTAGGAATCCAGTGCCCTTAACCACCACACCACCTGCCACCCTGACTAGATTATATTTTAAAGCATTATATTGGGCCGTCGCAAAAGTCATGACATATTTTCTGTGCAAAAATGCATCATGACTTTTCCCACTCATGGCCCAATAATAGAGGAAGGTAGAGTTTAGAATATTTCCAGAAAGTAATTCAGATAATTTTAAGTGCGTTCAAAATCACACACAATATTTTTATTTTCTTCCCCATGTTCATTTCTAGGATTGTGTTGACACAAGTTTTTTGCAGGTGACCTCAATGCACTTTTGGAATGAAAAGGCAGGGAATAGAGTGTTTACCTTCCTCCCTTCTAAATTTGGCCTTAGCTGACATTTGCTCATGGTATTTAAAGAATAAACGCTGTGAAATTTATACTTAATGTTCTGGAAAAGGCCACGATGTTCAGGTAAAAATCAAAGGAGGTGCTGAATACTTGATTAGATCCCTGTGCATTTTCTTGGGTCTCTTCTCATTTTGCTTTTTGGCTGCTCAATTTTTGTTTTTGTTTTTGTTTTTTTTTTGAATAGATAATATAGTGAAAGGTATGCAGTGAAAATATAAGTCTTCCTCTCAGCCCTGGTTCCCAGCCACCCAGTTCCACCATTACACATTTTTACTACCGTCTTCCAGATACAGACTCGTATGTGTATACCATTGTTTTATACAACTGGTAGCACAGTGAACATACTCTTTTTCACCTATTATACCTTGCAGTGTTCCCCCCGTCAGTACATCAAGAACTGCCTTCGTCCCTTTTGGAGACTGCCCAGCATTTGATTGTATGACTTTACCATAATTTAACTCGTCCCATACCATTGGGGATTGTTACGCCTCATGTGAACATCTCTGTGCACGTTTGATACCTGCGTAAGCACATGTCCAAGATTAATGGTAGGGAGTGGATTTGCTGGGCCAAATGGAATGTGCATTTAAAATTTTTGGTGGTCTATCTTCTCTGAAGTTCATTACAAGTTCTAGTCCAGTGGTACATCTGGGATGGTGCATCAGGATCATCCCTAGAACCTTTAGAAAGCATGACATGTTAGTTTTCCATTTCTGTTGTAACAAATTACCGTAAATCTTAGTGACTCAAAACAATGCAAACTTGTTTAGAATAAGGAATTAAAGTAGGGGTTTATTTTGGTACAGTTTTAAAATCCATGCACGGTTTTTCTTGTGACACACAATCTCCATGCACTTGTTGAAGAACCATCATACCGTCTTGTAATTCTACAGGTCAGAAGTGTGAAGTCGGGTTCACTGGTCTAAAGTCAAGGTGTCAGGAACTTTGGGTTCCCTCTAGAGGCTGCAGGGGGCATGTTTCTTAGCCTTTTCCAGCTTCTAGGAGCTACCCACACTTCTTACCTTGCAGCTTCTTCCTTGTGGTGGCATCACACACCCCCTACTTCTGTTGTCGCACCTCATTTCCACCGCCATTCTCCCATCGTCCTCTATAAGGACCTGTGGAGTTATGTGGAGGCCCACCTGATAATCCAGGATATCTCTGCATCTCAAGGGCCCTTTATTTAATCCTATCTGCAAAGTCCCTTTTTCATATGGTTGTAGCATTTTACAGTTTGAAGGATTTGCATGTGAATATCCTTAGGGAACTATCACTAACACTGTATAGGTTTCTGGTCCTACTCCAAGGATAGAGTCTGATCTTCTAGAAAATATTTATGTTTTTAAATACAAGTCATTCTGATAGGCACCTCAGGCTGACAACCACTGCAGATACCCCATGTAAACAAATGACATTATATCAAGGTGTCCTCACAAATTAGTTATTTTAAGATGTTTTGGAGTAGACAAAGATCTATTAGCACCTTTCTGAATTCTTTTTTGTGCTGTCAGTTTGCATTTTTCTTCCTTATTTATACTTGGCTTGTTGCACCTCAAGCAAAAATGTTAGGTGACTTTTGGGAGGAATTTTTCATTCTCATTACTTGGTCTGTACTGTACTCTTTGTTCTTTGAAGAGACTGCAGATTGCAATAGAGGTGTCCCTGAGCACCATTTTGATTTTATGAGGATAGAGGAAGCAGAAACAGAGAAGCTGCAAGCTTGCAATGTTTAGACTGGGCTTAGCGGGTGAGTGAATGACTGTCCCTCGTCCATGCACCTCATCCCTCATAGATCATGTGACCCATGCCTCCTTTAGATGCACCTCTGACATTTGGCTCCCTAAGCCCCTAACCCAACTGCACCTGAACTTGAATCTCTCTCTCAATAGTTCTCAATGCCAGTTGAACACCGGAATCCCTTGAGGAGCTTTTACTAGAGCAGTGGCTAGGCTCACCCTCAGGGATGCTGGCTTAATTGGTTTAGAGTGAGGTCTGGGATTGGTGTTTTTTAACCATAAACTTGAAAGGGCATGCCACATGTATACACCACTTTGGGATCACTTGGGAGCCAACTACCTCTTTGGCGTCTCTCTGGAAGTCACCAGACATATTGGGAGATGGCTGGACATGGTGGAAATGTAAGCTGTTTCCCGAAGTTCTAAGAAGCACTGTGTGAGAGAAAGAAAAAGAATGACTCACTCTGGTGAATCCAGCGAGATATGGCTGTGAACCAGCAGAGGGCACCCAAGGAATGCTATGGTCTTGGCCACCTGGACCTGAGTCTGATAGCGAGAGGTCGTCTTGGACCTGGTCCACACCTCATGCCTCTGACTTCTGGGTGAATGGCTGAACTGCCAAGAAGTCTTTCAGCCATCACTGCTGTTGACCTTCATATCTATAGATTATTGTTTAAGGATCCCCCTGCTGACCTCCTAGATGCTAAAGAACTGCCATTAAAAAGAAAATAAAAGAAAAAGAAAGAAAGAAATGGGGAAAAAAAGCACTCTTTTATTTCATTCTTGGTGCCTATAAAGCCTCAATTCTGTGAAGCGTTTCTATGTATGGGAAAGAAAATCAACTTGCTCTGACAGTCAGTCTTCTACTTCTAGAAACAGTAAATACACCAAGGGCCAATCTGGCGTTTCCTGTAGAGCTAAGTGAAAAATTCTGCATGCTTGCATATTTGAGATGAAATAGTTTAAATCGTTTATATTAAAAGTGTACTTTGTAAATATTTTCTCAGCATGCCTTCAATTAAAGAGATTTTTGCATCTGGATTAGACAGCAGGGTTTCTGGCTCTATTGAAAACAACCAAGGGATTTAGTGTTTAGTGCACGTAAGTGTTTAATGTTAATAATTTGGGCATTTTTATTTGAATTTCTGAAATAAGGATATTCAAGGGTTTTTTTTTTTCATATTCCGAAATGATACTGTTTTGGAACTCATTGAATACTTGTTATCAAAAGCTATCTTTTACTGAAATGCCAGACCTTCATAGAGCTGCTTAAAACTGAAACTATTGGGTCCTCAGAAAAGGCATGATGTATTTTTCTATGCAAAAATGAGTCATGACTTTTCCAATGACCCAATAGCTTGATGGGCTTTGGGAATTGAAGTAGGATCTGTTTGTGGGAAAGCAATTCTCCGTGTGGCATTAAGCCTATTGCTTCTTTTTGGACTAAAACTTGGGTGGGGATAATAATATGAAGTAGTAACCTATAGAAAAATGTCTTAGATGTGCATTAGCACATCTAAGAATTCTGAATTTTTAGCTATTTTGTAGAAAAGAGAAGTAAAATGTTTCTGCACTTAAAGTGAGGTTACATTTCAAGAAACATAAACCTGATGAAATAGCCCAAGTTGAAACTTATTTAATACACAGAACGTACTGAATGTCGTAGCTGGGCCCAGCCTACCTTACACATGCTCAGAATGTGTACATCAGCCTGCAGTTAGGCAAAGTCATCTAGCACAAAGCCCGTTTTCATAAAGTTAAATATCTCATGTAATTTATTGCATACTGTACTGAAAGTGAACAGACATGTGGGCACTTGCTATTAACGTATATATAGCTGAAAACACCTTCAAAAAGTTAGGAAAGCAATTCTCCGTGTGGCATTAAGCCTATTGCTTCTTTTTGGACTAAAACTTGGGTGGGGATAATAATATGAAGTAGTAACCTATAGAAAAATGTCTTAGATGTGCATTAGCACATCTAAGAATTCTGAATTTTTAGCTATTTTGTAGAAAAGAGAAGTAAAATGTTTCTGCACTTAAAGTGAGGTTACATTTCAAGAAACATAAACCTGATGAAATAGCCCAAGTTGAAACTTATTTAATACACAGAACGTACTGAATGTCGTAGCTGGGCCCAGCCTACCTTACACATGCTCAGAATGTGTACATCAGCCTGCAGTTAGGCAAAGTCATCTAGCACAAAGCCCGTTTTCATAAAGTTAAATATCTCATGTAATTTATTGCATACTGTACTGAAAGTGAACAGACATGTGGGCACTTGCTATTAACGTATATATAGCTGAAAACACCTTCAAAAAGTTAAAAAAAAAAAAAAATTACAAGTCAAACCATCTTGCATCCGGGACAGTCTGTGTCTGGAGGTGCTACTTTTCCTAAATTCACTGACTGAGACATGGAAAAGGAATGAAGCAGGAAAATGAGTGGACACTGAGGTTTTGGTTACTTGGTAACAGATTCTGTCTCAGATAAACCAGAAGGTGTGTGGCAGGGGAGGGAGGGCTGGTGGGGAGATATGTTTTGCCATTTTTTGAATGGGTGCTGGAGTGAGTCGCAGAATGCTGTAAAGAAAAACCTCTGAAGGCTGCAGTAGCTCCAGGAAACCTCACAGACGGAGATTTCAGGGCCCCATGAAGAAATCTCTTCCCCACTTCAGCTTCCTGGGAGGAGAGAGAATCTGACTGACACAGCCCGGGTCCAGCTGAGGGCTAGTCAGCTCTCTCCTGGGAGGCAGGTGCTGTAGCAGACCCAGATATATAGGACAGCTCCTGAGCAAGGGATATTCAGCATAAGCAGGACGCCGCCCCAGGAAGTGATGCCTGGGTGTAGGCCTCCACCTGCCATCTAACTCACACTGCGTGAGTCAGACAAGACAGTCGCACATAAACTACAAACTGGGCTTATTTGAAATATTAAAGTCCTCTTGCATATGATACCAATTTCTGTCTATAAAAAGAGCATTCACTTATCTTGATGTGCGGTGTTAGAGTACAGGGGTTCTCGGTGCGCCTCTGCTGTCATGCCTGGTGGGTGTGCTGTGATAGGCGCCCATAGATGACGCATGTGTCTGCAGTGGAGAAACAGCCAACTGGTGCCTGGAAGGAGACTGAGGGCAGATTCTAGTCCCCAGCTGGGCTCATCTCTGTCCCCAGCAACATGGAGCAGAATTTCGGTAGCTGCTACTTCCAGACTTAAATCCAGTCTGGGTCACAGTTATACCCTTTCCTCCTGCACGTAGCAATTCAGAACGCAAGTGAGTGGGGGCAAAGGTGCCTCACCTCCTGGCACTGCCTCTTGCTTTTTCTCCATGCAAATTATTGGTAAACTCGATTCTGGGATACCCAGTAAATCCAGGTCTGATCCTGGCGTGTTTAGCAGCATTTCTCTCTGTCTGTGGAATAGAAGCTGAGCTGAACTTTGAGTTGTTTTTTTTTTTTTTTTTTTAAGATTTAGGTGTGACTACACAAAACCTGACTTAACTGAGAACTTTGACTTTTCAGATTCAGAGAAAATGGCACAGTATCTGGAGGAGGAACGTCACATGCGGGAAGAGAACTTGAGGCTGCAGAGGAAGCTGCAGAGGGAAATGGAGAGAAGAGAAGCCCTCTGTCGGCAGCTCTCCGAGAGCGAGTCCAGCTTAGAAATGGATGATGAGAGGTGCGTACGAATCCCAGGTGTCTTGCAAAGAAACTCCCAGGAAAACGCATTTAACGTGATGATTAATGCCATCAGATCAAAGTGGATACTGTGACTGGGAAAAATGAGGAAGATGGAATGTTTTTCTTAAACTGAAAACAAAAGAATTGCCTTTCTAAAATTATTTTAAGAATTAATTTAATTTAATTTATTTAAATTTGACCAAAGAGAGAGGGAGGGAGAAGGAGGGAGGGAGAGAGAGAGAGAGAGAGAGAGAGAAAGTGAGAAAGCAAGCCACCAAGTCTGACACTTGAACCATGATTGGCCCAGTGGGAGTCCAGCACCCTTAACCACATGCCACCTGCCAGCCCTTCTATAATGTTTTGGTGGGAGAAGAAATGCAGGCAGGATTATATGGAGAGAGGAGGCAGACTTTGCATTCATTGTTGAATTGGTCTAATCCGGTGTCACGTCTGTTTAAAGCAAGCACATTTTAATCCTTGTGTATGGAAAAGGTTGCTGTGTCCAGCTCGAGGAAGCAAACGCATCCTTTCAAACCTGGGTTGAAAGAACCGGGAGGAGACAGTAGAAGTTCTTGAAATCCCGAGGACTTGCCTTGACACCCTCTATGACTCTGAGCCTCTCATAGCTACTTATCCCAGCGCTGCCGTAGGCCAAGATAATAGCCATCCTTTAGGAGGAAGTGGTCTCAGCATTTCTCTCATCCAGACAGCCCTCATTTTCCTTTTCCTCCAAACTTGGGTATAAGGTAGTTATTAAGGTAAGAAACAGATCTACACACCAGGAGATGGCATAATGGTTCTGTTGCTGGACTCCCACATAATTGACAGCAGTTCAAGTCCTGGTCCTGGTGGCTTAAAACTCACACCAGGCACATGTGCATGCGGGCTCAAAATCCTGAGAGGAGACGGGATCGTGGCATGACCATCCCCCCGGGCTGTGATTTCTCACTTTCTATCTCTTGTTTCTCTATAGTAAAAATCTTTCTTTAAAGAAAAAAAAAAGGATAGAAAGAAATCTAAAAAACCGTTCAATCAACTCAGAAACCCAGCATGTAGGGAATTTGCCTCCTTACAAACAAAAACATTTCTGAGTGGAATTTCCTGCCCTGGATCAGAGATGCCCTGGCCTCTGTGGGCCACATCACAATGTGTGAAGAGAGATCGACCATCCTCGACGGGCCTTTTAGATGGGGCTGGGCAGCCTGTTTCTGAAACCAGGGTCTCTACTGGCTGTGAATAGTACTGTCTATTGATGCCAAATGTGTCTGATAACGTGAAGGCCATATTAGCACATTGTGGCTCCATTTTTATTATGGTATGGATCTAGAGGGCTTATGAAGCTTTGGGTCAGTTTGCTGTGGACGGTGGTAATATCAGTTCAAGAAAAACATGAGATTTTCTATCATCAAAGTCAGATTTGGAAAGAATAGAGATGATTCTTTCTTTCTTAAAAGTTTGCATTATAAAACTGTCATCTGTAATTCTAAATTTCACTGATCCATTTCTGAGTTTTCCATGGTAAGGTTTTTATCCTCTAAGGATCATGTGACTAAAAACATCAACTAGAATACTAAATAGCTTACTAAGTACCCTCTTAACTACTGTAACGCAGAGCAGACCGTGTAGTAACATGTATAGCATTCTCTACCCAATTCTGGATAAGGCACACTTTAAGGGATACCTTCTTCTGATGGTGGCGGCAATACTGAAGCTACTTCAGGCTTCCAGATAAATGCCTTTTTTTCTCCCCCCAAAAAACTGGTATTCACTGTGGAACATTTGCTTACCTTTTATAGGACAGATTATTACAGATCAAGTACAACTAACTTCCCTTCTGTAAATGATGATGTCACATTTGGGAGAAAGGTACTAGTCTGACACTAAAGACCATAGGAAGTGGTCTTTGCCGCCCAGCCGGATATAGATGAGGAAAAGCCACCCCAATGCCACTGCGGTGGGCTGCTCTGAAGAGGGTGGGGAGAAGGACCAACAGTTAGCATAATGGCTATGTCACAGGACTCCCACGTAGTCGACCACAGTTCGTGTCCCAGACCCGGTGGCTTAAAATTCACACTGGGCACGCATGCGTGCGTGCCCAAGATCCTGAGAGGAGAATGGAGGAGAAGGGATTGTGGCGAGGGATGGTGGTGGCGCGTGGCCTCCTGCGGGGGGGGGGGGGGTGATTTCTTGCTTTCTATCTCTCTGTCTGTCTGGCGAGCGCACGCGCCCTATAGCAAAAACCTCTTAAAAAAAAAAAAAAGGTGGGGAGAATTAGTGGCTGATGTCTAGTTGAGATGTGCGTCAGATTCGGGGGCTGGTTTGGTTCAAGGCCAGCCTGCTTAGACATGGCTGTGTTAGGGTTCCACCATGAATTGACTGAATGCCACGGCTGAGACCTTCCCGGGATTGAAGGTGCATGCACATGTGGCCCTTTGGCCCACAGAAGAATGGTTGATCAGGAAGTCTCTTGAGCAGAAATTCCTCCTCGTAGGGCTCTGTGCGTGGTTCACAGAGTGAACGTGATTATACTCCAGCATTCCCAGGTCGGAGGTGACTTTGGAATCTAGGAGAAAGTCAAACTCAGCAGGAGGTGGCGAAGCACGACTTACCGAGGTCCTGGTCTTCACATCCTCACAGCTTTATTACATTCTTATTTATTTATTTATTTATTTTTGAGAGAGAGATTTTTGCTATAGGGCACATGTGCTCACTGGAGAGATGGAGAGAGCAAGCAAGAAATCACCCCCCCCCAGGGGGGCACAATCTCTTCTCCATTCTCCTCCCAGGATTTTGGGCACATGCGCCTGGCACGAGTTTCAAGCTTCCGGGTTTGAGACTTGAACTTCAGTCATCCATATGGGAGTCCAGTGCCTTAATCACTACGCCACATACTGGGCCCCTGCATCTTCTGTTGCATTCTGACATGTGAATGTTTGTTAAACAAGGCATGCTTTGTAAACAGTTGACAATCTTTTCCCGGGAATATAAATCTTTAAGGTTTATTCTTACGGCAGAAATCTCCAAGGGGTGGCTTGTATTTGAGTTTCAAGTAAGAATTTAAATGTAGCCTTAAAACATGGATCTCTTTGTCATTCTTGAGACAGTGGGGGTGACACACAGCCTAACTGTTGTGTGACAGCCAGAAGACCAGTCCTCCGGTGTGTGGTACAGCTGCTCCATTGGGACCCCATCCTGAGCTCAGATACCCCGTGTCCCCTAACCTGTGCCCTTATGGAGTGAGGTTTGCCAAACTGGAGCAGTGGGACCCAGGAGCCCATTTTATAAATGTCTGTTAGCTACAGCATCACTTTCTAAACATTTGGGAATATATATATGCATCTCAAACATTATCTGTTATGAACTCTCTTAAGAACTGTTTAAATGCAGGCAGTTCTGATATTTCCTCCTCTCTCCGCTTAGGTATTTTAATGAGATGTCTGCTCAAGGATTAAGACCTCGCACTGTGTCCAGCCCGATTCCTTACACACCTTCTCCAAGTTCAAGCAGGCCTATTTCACCTGGTAAGTACATGTCTTCGGCTACTTCTTTGACTCATGGCTGGTGCGTTCACTTGGCATTCCTTACTCCATTTCCCTCCCGCTTCCAGCATACAGGGATCTTATAGACAGAGAGATAGTGGCCATGTAGACTTCAAAACATGAAAATTATTATCAAGATTAAGAATTTATTTAAAGTATTATTTAATTTTATTTATTATTATTATTATTTTAATTTGACCAGAAACAGATAGGAGAAGGCAGTGGGGTGAGAAAGTAAGCTACCAGGTCTGGGACTCGAACCGCAGTCGACCATGTAGGAATCCAGAGCCTTAACTATCATGCCACCTGCCGATCCCAAGACTAAGTAAGACTCTTGGCTTGGATATTTTAAACATAAATACTGGAGTACTAGCTGGTGTTTTTCTTCATTTAAAAAAAAAAAAAGGTTTTTGCTATAGGGTGCCAGTGTTTGCTGGAAAGAGACAGAGAGAGAAAGAGAGAAATCACCCTATAGAGGGGATGGCGATGCCATAATCCCTTCCCTCCATTTTCTTCCTGGGATTTTGGGCACACACACACATATGCCTGGTGTGATTTTCAAGCCATATGGGAGTCTATGGTAACTACCATGCCACCTGTTGGCGCCTCAACTATTATTTTTAAGGTAAGGAGATAGGACTCCAAAACATCCATTTCAAAAGAAGACAGTCTTTGACTGATTGTAAATGCCAATGGATGGACAAAAACGTTGAGTAGATTTCCAAGATACATCCTAGCACATCATATTCATAATACATTTTCTCATTTTGTCCTCAGAATAGTTAATGTAGGTATCATTTTTCCCATGTTAAAACTGAGGTGCAGGACTAGCAGGTGGTGTGGAGGTTAAGACACTGAATACCACATGGCTGACTTTGTGGTTCCAGTCCCGGACTTGGCAGCTTGAAAGGCACACTGAGCACATGTATATGCATTCCCAAAATCCTGAGGGGAGACAAGAGGAACAAGGACTACTGTGTTGTGGCCATCCTCCATGTCAGAGGAGACGGAGCTTTTTACTTTCTCTGTCTGGTGAGCTTACATGCCCTGTAGCAAAAACTAAAAAATAAATAAGGATCGAGGTGCAGCTCCTTGGAAGTTTGCTAACTACTTCACAGGACCAGGAGGTGGCAAGACAAGGTGTGTGTTTCCACAGCCTGAGTTCTTCCAGCGTGAGCTGCCTGTGAATATTGCCGATGACTGAGTGGGACTTGGCCCCAGTGGGCAGGCCGAGCCAGAAGGAACAAACTTCAGGCAGTCTGCGCCTGGCTTTGCTTTCAGAAGCCTTTCCCTGAAAGGCCTGCTTGTCTTCATCTGACCCCGAAAACTCTCCCCTGGTCCCTGGCCCAGTACCAGCACCACGTGGGGCTAGCAGGCCAGGAGGGCAAGTAAACGATCCAGCAGGGGAGAGAGGAAGCAGAGGGAGGGAGAGGGTGGCAAGTGGAGCTTGGGGAGGAAAGAAAAGGTAGCCGGCCAAAGGACTGCATCTTGTGACCGAAATGATGAGACTGATCCTGTGCTTGCTGGTAAACAGATTTTACACAGAGTTGGGAAAAAAATCTGTGGGGGCAGAGGGAAGATGGAGGCTGCATTCACAGTAGCCGGAAGTGACTGCTTTACAGGATGGCAGCATAAGGGTTTTATAAAGTGAAACAGCTTCACGTTAGAGGGACAGTTCATTTTGTCTGTTAAGAATTATTGAAACAGAGGAGCAGATGGCATAATGGTTACATTGTTGGACTCCCAAGTAGTAGACCATGGTTCAAGTCCTGGACCCGGTGACTTAAAACTCACGCCATGTGCGTGTGTGTGTGTGTGTGTGTGTGTGCCCAAGATCCCGAGAGGAGAATGGAAGAGAAGGGATTGCAGTGTGACCATCCCCTTTGTGGGGGGGGAGGGGGCATGATTTCTCACTTCCTGTCTTCCTGTATCTCTGTCAACAATAACAAAAATATATGTTGAAACGAAGAATGCCCTTAAGGTTGATAGAAGGGAAGTGGTGCTATCATGCAGTTTCCATAGCAGAAGAAATGGCTTCATTTCCCAAATGTAAGATCCAGGCCAGACCTGTGCTGCTGTGACTTTTTAATTTTTATTTATTTATTTTTTAAAAAGAAGGGAAAATCAAAACTAAAAAGTCCAGCACAAGGCTTGGCAGCTTTTGTATACTTTGGGCCAGTGTGCTCCCTGGCTTCTGGCAAGATTATAAAGGGGCTTATCACAAACCAGTGTCGTGGACCAGTGGAGTGGTCATGGCCCCGTGTTCTTGTCTAAAGGATGTTCCTGAAAATGTGTCTTCTATTTGCCAGCGGCCTTAAGTGTCTCTCCAAAAGCTTTTCTTCCTAGCCGCCTTTCAGTGTCCCCAAAATAGCAGTTGGCTTTCATTACCAAGACAAAGGTCATTTTTGCATTTGGATTTATTGACGTAAAGGAACACCTGAGTCTGCAAGAAGCAAGATGGAGGGCTATTTTGTAGTTGAGGTGATGCTGATTCATATTAAATTTAATATCCTGTTTGGCTTATTTTAACCTGAAGAAATCTTCAGAGGCATTTAGTTTCCAGTTCATTAAAAAGAATGTTGTGGGCTGGCACTATGACCTTGTTAAGGCTGCTGGATCCCACATGGCTGATTGTGTGGTTCAAGTCCCAGACCCAGTGTCTTGAGAAACACCTTGGGTACCGGGTATGTGTACCTAAAATCCTACAAAGCAGAAGTGTAGGAAGGATTGTAGCCTGACCATTCCCTGTGGGAGGTGCTCTCTCCTCTCTTTGTTTCTTTCTCTCTCTGGTATGTAAACATACCCTCTATCCATGATTGTTTGATTCCTCGGTTTACCTGCATGTGTATGTATGTACCATAATTCTAGCTGACAGGAAAGGCTGAGGGGAGAATTGTGGCATGACTCCCTGCTGAGGGTACTTCTGTGTGTTGTGTGTGTGTGTGTCTTTCTCCTTCTCTCTCTCATGAAAGAAACAAGCTGCGGAAAAAAAAAAAAGAAAAAGGAAAAAAGAAATAAACATAGTCACTGAAAAAGAAAAAAGTCACCCAGCTGGTGGTGTGGTAGTTAAGGCATCTGGAACTCTCTGGGCCAACTGCATGGTTCAAGTCCTAGACCCAGCAGCTTGGAAAACATACCCGTGCATGTGCGTATGTGCCCAAAATCCCAAAGAAAGAATGGAGGAGAAGGGATTATGACATGGCCATCCTCCCCAGGGTTGCTCACTCTCCCCCTCCCACCTCTCTCTCTGGCAAGCACACTCACCCTATAGCAAATATAAAAACTCAGATCTTGGTTGCAAATATTCCTTCTATTATAACAATTATTCTTCTATTCCATTTACATAATTTTTTTGGGGGGGAGGCAGCGAGAGGTTTTTGCTATAGGGCACATGTGCTCACCAGAAAGACAGAGACAGACAGAAAGTGGGAAATCACCACCCAGGGGGGATGGCCATCCCCTCTCGGAATCTTGGGCACGCACGCACACATGCTCGGTGTGAGTTTAAGCTACCAGGTCCGGGACTCAAACCGCGGTCGACTACATGGGAGTCCAACGACATAGCCATTATACTAACTACTCGTCTCCCATTTACATAGTTTTCCCTGTGCCCGTCACTGGAGTGGGGCCTGCATCAAGTTTGGGCTTGCTTGGGTAGATTAGCTATGTAGTTTCCCCTTATACTATGTAAGATGTGGCCATCCTACTCTTAGTTCTTCAAAGTCGATTTTATCTCCTGTTTGGCAGCAGAGTTACTCCATCCTAATCTAGTACACTACAGAGCTATATGTAGTAGAAGCAAACTCTGAATATCCCAGTTTTGTTTTCACTTAACTTTTTATTGGAAGACTGTATGGTTCTCCGTATTAAGAATAATCTAGTCACTTCCTTAGTGGCAATATGTTGTTTGTATAGTTTTCATTTCCATTTTAAACATTTTGGCTCTTTTCCTCCTTCACATTTTTGGTTAACATCGGAAATGTTGCATTTTCACCAACTGTTGAAATTTTGCACCTGCTTCACAATTTGATCAAAAGATAACTATCTTAGAGCTTAATTATATGTGAACTTTTCTTGATTAGAAGTGAACTTATCCGGGGGGGGTTAAATAGTTCACAGAAAATACATATGTGAACTTTTCTTGATTAGAAGTGAACTTCCCCGGGGGGGGGGTTAAATAGTTCACAGAAAATACGTATTACGAAAAAGCTACTCATGGATTCTAAAGTTCTTTCAAGCCAAGATAAACTCATATTTAAATTTCATTTTCCCACAAACTTTTAGAAGTGCCTTTATCGGTGGATTATATAGGGAGAGTTACAATGAACCCTCCCTGTATAATAGTTAACAATTTTCAGGTTGTTCATTATTTTATGCAATCTCAGAGAAGAAAATGTACAGTTATTGTGTGTTGATGTGTCTAAATCAGGGGTGGGCAATAATCTACTCTAAAACCAGACCTGTACCCCAAGTGCAGTGAGCACACCCAGGACCCAGATCTTGGTTTCTAATTCCATTTTTCAGTGAAAAGAACTAGGGCTACTTAGGGAAGTGGATGTCTCTCAGACCAGGGCACACAGTATCTAAGATGAGCCTGGGACACCTTGCAGTGCAAGAAAAAAGTAACCATGTGCTTAAAAACAAACAAACAAACAAAAAACAAACAAACAAACAAAAAAAACAGAATGATGGAAGTACTTTAAAGTGGTACAGGAACTCTCAAATACCCAATCTGGAAGAATTGGCGCAGTCAGAGAAATTCTGTAGAGAAGGTCCTGGAGCCCTGTGCACGCAGAACACACACAGGCCAGCTGAGACAGGGTTCGATTCCAGCATTGAGGACCCTGTTAGGTGTGTGTGTGTGTGTCTCACATAAAAACAAAAAAATAACTAAAGAAAATTTCAATAATAGATTATAAACTAAACATGAAACAAATATCCTAAGTTCCTACTGATGAGTAAATGACTGAAAATAAATAAGGGGGAAGAGACAAGTCTGCCATAGAAATTTCTCAGTAATATATATAAAGAGATCCTGCCTGCAAGCGGTGGAAATAGCTCTCAACTCCTTCAGTGTGAGCTATGTGACTATAGTATTTAGAGGTCAGGTATAAGGAAAACCTGACAGAGGAGGCTGGGAAGTCGCTACAAGAAAAGTAGCATAACATGCCACCATAGTCAAGACAAAGCATTTCGAGCAGGGAGTGGTCAGCTGGTGTCAGCTGCAAAGTTAAGTAGAATGGAGTGGGGATCAATATTCACGGCTGGCAGCAGGGATCCCGCTGCTGAAGTTCGCTCTAGCAGAGAGAAACAGTGGTGGGGTCAGAAGCCAGAACGAGAGGCAAGTTAAAGAGGAAACTGCGTCAAATTATGTGAATTCTTGCAGAGAGGATATTTTCATTTATACGTTGTGTCGGTGTGTAAAACTATTTTAAAACGAAAAAAAGATACCTGCCTTTAATTTTATTTTAGTTTGTTTTTCTTTAGCAAAGGAATATTAGGACCAGCCTCATAGCCTAGTGGCTAAGGCATCTAGATTCCCCATGGACAGCCATGAGGTTCCATTCTCACGTGTGTGTATGTGTGTGTGTGTGTGTGTGTGTGTGCACGCGCACACACCCAGCATCTTGACAGGATGGAGAAATGCAGGAGAAGAAGCTATGGCATAATCATGCCCCTTTGGGGTGGCTTTCTCCTCTCTGTTTCTGGTGCGTGAACTTGCCCTCTGCCAATTAAGGAAAAAAAAACAATTAGAGAGAGATTGGATCAATGAGAAGGCTATAAAGAAGCAGAAATAAAAAACCATCCAGAATCTTTTTATCCAAAGACATTATTTTAGTATTTATGTACTTCATCTCCTTACTCTTACTCCTTGCAGTTTTTCTTTAGATAGTTGATTTTACATGTATTTTGAAATACTGTTGTATCTCGGTTTACTTTTTTTTTTTAGTTTATTTCTTCCATAACTGCAAGAGACAGAAAGAGTAACAGAGAGACAGCGTCCCCAACAGGATCTTGGTCCCACAGTCCACCTCCAGCCTCAGCCTGCCTGGATCCTGGGTGCTCACATGCCAGGCATACTCAGCAAGGTCTTTGGATGTAAACCCAGAACTTTCATATGTGGATCAGCCTTGCAGAGCCTTGTGTTTTATTGTGCATCACTGTTACTATTTATCTCCCTTTCACATTCCACTTTTTAATTAATCATCTTTTAAATTTACCATTTTGAATTTGATGGTAAAATAAATCTCACATTAAGAGGTTTGAAGTATTATCTTGCAGTTTTGATTTGCATCTCCCTGATGATTAACAATGTTGAACAACTGTTTATACAACTGTTGGCAGTTTATATTTATTCTTGGAGAATTGCCTATTCAAGTAATTTGCTCATTTTGATTATTTAACCCACTTCAGATAGGTAGTTTCAGCATCATATCCAACAAATTATTCCCAAGACCGGTATTAAGGAACTTTCTCCCCATTTTACTTCTAGCAGTTTTGTCATTTCAGGTCTTATATTTAAATCTTTGATCCATTTGGAGTTTATCTTTGCGTATGATGTAAGATGAAGGTCCAGTTTCATTCCTTTGCATGTGGATATTCAGTTTTCCCAGCACGAAGTTTTACTTTATTTTTTTTTAAAAGAGAGATGAAGATTTTTGCTCTAGGGTACATATGCTTGTTTGTGAGACAGAAAGTGAGAAATCCCTTACCCTCCACTACCCAGGGGGAATGGCCATGCTGTAATTCCTCCTTTCCCTAGGATTTTGGGTACAGATATCTGGCCAGGGTTTCATGGCCTCTGAGTCTAGTACTCGAATAGCGTTCAGCCATGTGGGAGTCTAGCACCTTAATCACTAACGCCACCTGCTGGCACCCTCCAGTACCAGTTACTGATGAGACCATCCTTTCTCCATTGCGCATTCATGATGTCCTGGTAAAGACCAGTTGATTGCCTTTACGTGGGTTTATTACTAGACTCTCCATTCTGTTCTAGAACTTCATTCGTATATCCTTCGTCATGCAGCATGCCCATTGAGTGGCCACCTCTGTTCTCTTCTGTGTTTACTTTTGTGCAACCGCCTAGGTGGTTGAGGCACCATATAATTGAATTTGAGATGATGATCTGCTGTTCTATTTCAGGTCTATCATATGCAAGTCACACAGTTGGTTTCACGCCGCCGACTTCACTGACTAGAGCCGGAATGTCTTATTACAATTCCCCGGGTCTCCACGTGCAGCATATGGGAACGTCCCATGGTATCACAGTAAGTATCCTGGGACAGGAAGCCACCCTGGACTCCTGATGGTGATTTCAACTGGTCCTTCTTGGGATACCAGGATTGGCGCCCCTAGTGACCTTCCTGTGTCTCCCAGCAGTTCACTTGAAGTTATAGACTTCCTAGAAGATTAATAATTCTTACTTTGAAACTAAAACCTTTCCTAAGAAGCAAAACTTCAACTTTACTTCCTATGAAAAATTGCTCATTGCCTAATGTAATTTGAACTCTGGCCAATGCCTTGATTGAACCTTGACCAGCTCTTTGCCACAAAAAATTATTGTTGGTTGCCATAATGTCTAAAAAATATTTATTGTCCGCACCTTCACAGCTCACTGCCTCTCAGTAATCTTCCTGAAGTTAGCCTTGTTTCTGGTTTTAATCAGTTTTTTATCTCTTGAATTAGAAGAAAGCTTTATTGCATCTAGTTCATACTCTACCCAATGGAGCTTTTTTCTTTAGAGTTGACAAATATTTGACTAAGAGTGCTGTTTGAAATATCATCGGTAGGAGTTAGGAAATTGGAGAAGAATTCAGGGTATTTTTGGTAAGAGCATATGCCAAAGAACAACTCTATTTGAAGAAAGCATTTAGGGAACCAGCAGTTAGCGTAATGGCTATGTCGCTGGACTCCCACGTAGTCGACCGCGGTTCGTGTCCCGGACCCGGTGGCTTAAAACTCACGCCGGGCGCGTGTGCGTCGTGCCCAAGATCCCGAGAGGAGAATGGAGGAGAAGGGATTGCGGCGTGACCATCCCCCCTGGGGGGTGATTTCTCGCTTTCTGTCTCTATTTCTCTCTCTGTCTGTCTGGCGAGCACACGCGCCCTACAGTGAAAATCTCTCAAAAAAAAAAAAAAAAAAAGAAAAAGAAAAAAAAAAAAGAAAGCATTTAAGGCATTTACGAAGCTGTTTTGCCAGTTTGATGGACTTTATATAAAAGCAGGGATGATTTAGTTGCACTGTAGCCCTCAAGGTCTGAAACACTTGTTTTGAGTGATAGAAGGGATTGATCACTTACAACTAACAACAGAGGTTTAAGGGGACGATAGGACATCCTGTTTCAATTTTACAACTTTCTCATGAAGGAAAGTAGTTTGGTCCAACCCAAGTTCTATAGTAGTAATTAGTCATTGGCCATAGCATTTTCATCCGTGTAGGTGTAAACACTACGTTGCCTATGATTTCCTTACTAGTTCAGGAACCAGTACGTGTAAAGGAAGGAAATGGCTGGTTTGATGGTCAGGTTTTCAATAGCCTCAGTTCCAAGTCAAGCTGTGTCAGAAATGAGCTGCCTGTGCCTAGACTGACCTGTTATTCCGTCCCTCTCTGCAGAGGCCTTCACCACGGAGAAGCAACAGTCCTGACAAATTCAAACGGCCCACACCGCCACCGTCTCCAAACACACAGACCCCAGTCCAGCCACCTCCACCTCCACCTCCGCCACCCATGCAACCCGCGGTCCCCTCAGCAGCCACCTCGCAACCTGCCCCTTTGCAACATTCGGTGCACCCCTCCCCCCAGCCTTAATGCATGTGCTTAGTCTGAAGTTCAAGTTGGGACTCGTCCAACGGACCCGTCTACTCAACGCCAAAGGCTTCTTCCCTGGCATATTTGGATCGGACTTATTTGCACTGAGGTTATCTAGGCTTCACTATTCATTGTGTTGTAAGTGTTGGTCGGAAACGCAGCCAGTGTTGTGGGTCTACAACACTAACCAGACGACTTCTCCCATCAGTGTTTTACTTGAATCTACGTGTACGTCCATCCCCAGGCTGGAACATTTGCTATTTGGTATTTGGTAATTCAGCAGCAGTGTGCAATTTTTGCTTGGCCCCAGAGCTTCATTTTCCTGGCTTTTAGGTTTGTAAAATAAAAAGGGATCTCTTTTTTATATATTTTTTTTTCATGAATTTGCCGAAAATGACCAAGCTGTTTTTGGTCTCTGTCTCTCATTATAATGGTGTTTACTAAACACACAAACAACTCAGCACTACAATTCAGACCATTGGAACTCTAGCTTTCAGAGTAGAGTGGAAAGTTAGATAAATCAATGCCCAGTACATAAATATTGTTTAATAAGAGCTTTCTACAGGTACACTTTCTACAGGTTATTTTCCATGTAAGTTGACATCCTTGTCTCTTGTAATACAGATGGTCCAAGGTAATGAATCACATGGTTGTACTTCTCGACGTACATGGGATGGATACTTATTGTAAATTAAGGTGTGTTCTTTTCCTTTATCTTTAATGTTAACCTACCGAAACTGGCCCCCTCTAACATGAGTCGATAAATGTTGTCCTACCCACCAGTGATTTCGATGGCTAATTAGAATGTGCTTATTTGATTTCTGCTGCAGAAGGCAATGTGATTGTAACAAAAACAGAGTGATTTTCCCTTCCATTTTTTTTTTTTGTGTGTGTGTGTCCTCCTGAAATAAGAGTTTGAACAAATATTCTAAAGGTGCAAAAATACTCGTAGAGGATACTATTTGAAGTGGACATTTTAGGAGTATCATGGTGTGACGGCCACAAAATACTGTATTGCCTGACAGAAGAAGAGAGCTGTAGGGGAGGGAGCGCATTAACATGGAAGACCGCCCACTTCACCCAGTGGAAGCAAGTACAGTGTACAAAAGAAGTATATTCTGAATACATGATTTCCATTCATTGAGCACAAATAAATCATTCAGTTTCACTATGAAGTGGAACACTATGAGTCACTTTTTCTTCATCTTTGCAACATCGTTGTTTTTCAGCAGTTACTGTTTTTGTACTTTGGTAGTAAAGTGATTTTTACCACCTGTGTTTGCATATTTCTATATGCCGTGGATGAAAGTAACTTACTAGAGAATGTATATTTTATGATGAGAATGTGTATCTGTTGGATATAATCAGAGAACTGAAAATTAATTTATCAGTAATTTTTAAGAGTCCATGTTTTGTGACTACCATCTCTAATGGCTAACTGCTTATCGAACACACTCCTAAAAATAAGGAACCATGACATTGTAGATATTTTTAATATTGTACAGTATAGACACCTCCATTTTTGCCTTCGAATTGTGTATTTAAGAGTTAACAGAATGAAGAAAGTCTCGTTGGATAATAGTGTTTGGCTAGCATTTTAAGAGCTTGAGAGTAAAAGCAACAATAGGGTTTTTTCATTTCTTCTGGCTTCTACCCCCAAACTGGGAGCATCACGCCTCAATTGTTTGGAAGAAATCCTAGGGCTATATAGATTTATTTTTAATGTGTGTGTAATATACATAATCATAGTACAGATCTCAAATTTGAGGAAGAAGTTTGGCATCTAATTATTGAGGCTTTTGGGTTTTAATATTGCCAGACTGGGCCATGTCAACCCTGGAGATTTCACCAACAGCTCGCTCTGACCTTCCTGGTTCCTTGCTGTTCCAAGGAATTCTGAGACTAGGCAAACAGATTTTTGCCTTCATGGTACAATTCTCGATTTTTTTCTTACAGGAGAAATATGGTATGTTTACAGAAATCTTTTTATGAGATTATAGATTTCGTTGCTGTTGGATAATGTCTCGTATTCAAACAAGAAAGTCCCGAATGTAATGATCTTCTATCAATTTGGTTATCTTGAAAGCACAAAAGTTGAAACATTGCCATATGGTGAATGGAAAAGCACTTGGAGTGAGCAAACAGTTCCTGATAAATGCCTTCTAGACACAGGTTCTTGACATGCAGACTTCTGCAGAAGAGTACTGCTGGTTCTCCTAGACTCGTCATTTCACTTCAAAATAAAACACACGTCCTTCAAACAGCACTTTTCAACCTAAGTCTAGTTGCCTCTCCCTGTAGACATTCAGAACCGATGGAACAAACACTACTATTTTGAATTTCTCATGTTTCATGTCCTTTCAGAGTGTGTCATGACCCCACGTAGAGCCGGTAACACATGGGCAGTACCTGCTAGGACATTTTCTTGGCAATTGTTTTAACTGTGGAGGCCTGCAAGATTCAGATCCCACGCCCATAGGGGCAGGAGCCCTTTACCAAGAGAAGTCAGGTGCTTCTCATAGGGCCTGGGCATGGTTACTGCTGTCCTGTTGCCCATTCACCCAGGTTAACCCTGGATGGACTCACAGAAGGTAAACTCACCTTTGTAAAGCCGTGGCCATCCTGCAGGCAGACCCAGAGCAAGAGTAGCTTCAGTAGTTTTATTTCCTGTCTTCCTGACAGAGACCCTTGGCTACCACTGTGCTGCTAATAGGATAAGTAACTCCCTTGCCAGATTTCCATGCCTTTTATACAAAACCAAATTAAGTTACCTAATACCTGGCACCTCTAGGCTCTCGACTGCTTTCTCTTATCAAGCATGCTGGCATTCTAGACAGAATTCTAGGAATTTGGCAGGTGATAGAAATATTCAAAATTTTAACTTACTCCTTTGTTGGTTGAAAGGAGTTTTAGATTCTGAGCTCCTGAGATACTGACTCACGACCACAGATGAATGTGTGACCAGAATGTGGCTTTGACACCAAGTGCTGCTGTGCCTTTATAATTAGCTTCTGATTTGACCAGAGATGATGGATAATGTGAATTTATGTTAATCAGTTGTTCAACTGTAGGAAAATAGAAGCTGTATAACCCTTTATTAGGTAGACAGGAACTTCTGCACAAAGTCTTGCTTGTAAAGGATGCCCGATAAGGCAAGAAAAAGCATAGTAACGTATACCTTGAGAGCTCAATATTTTCTCATCACAGAAGACCTATTTCTGTGTACCTTGCTCTTCTGTCTAGTACTTGTCTTATAGGTAACCAGCGCTGAAAACTTTGTAGTGATGACTACCAAAGAAATACATAGTAAAACAACCTTTATTTCCCAATTATTAAAAAGCCAGCTGTTGACGCTGCTACATGAGTTCCATGCTCAAGAGCCATTGTAAGAGATTAAGGGGTGCGTTCAGTTATTTTCTCTCTCTCTCTCTCTCTTTTTTTTTTTTTTTTTTTTTTTTTTGATAAAATATGTTAGCTTAAAGTTACAGTGAGCATGTTCCAGAATGCTCAGCGGTTGTGATGAACTGCCAATTCCAGGTTGCCTCTCTTAGGTAATGAAAGGAATCCTGTGTTCATGCCAGCATGGGTGCTGTGTGTGTGCACGTGTGCGTGTGTGCATTCACGCCTTAACTCGGGTTACTGCTCAACTTTAGTTCTTGACTTGTCCGCACCGTCCTCTGGATTATATTGTATATCTCCATCTGAGCTTCCTCCTGGCATGAACAAAGTTGCAGGCACGCCAGTTGAAGAATGCATTCCTCCGAGAAAGCATCTGGTCAGGTTGACCGAGCCTTGTTTGGACTTCATTTGGAACTTACCTTGGAAAGCAAAAGTGACCTGTCAATGGATTGACGTCAACAAGGGAAGAGTCAAGAGCTAGCATGCCTTTGCCTCTGCGTATCTGTGCACACTGTATGTTCATGATCGCTTGTCTACAACTTGACTAGGTTGGAGTTCTGGTAACGGTGGCAATCTTGACATTATCTTGATCAGAGTTTAGAGCGATGTAAGACTTCCGATTAATGTCTTATTTACTTTATGTTGATTAGTCTTTGATACATGTGCTGAATCAGAAACCTAAATAAAGATAATTTTTTAAAATGTACCTCTTGAGCCTTAAACCCTCTCTTTCTTTCTGATCTTTGAATGGAAAAATGAACATTTTTTTCCCCTATTGCTTCTGACAAACACCAGACTTAGATTCTAAGCTCTGAAGTCTCCCTGAGAAGGTTTAAGGAAGGTGGCAAAGATGGTGAGGTTTGTTTCTTTTTTCTTTTTTTTTTTTTTTAAGAATTATTTATCTTTTCTTTTTCAGTTTTGCTACAGGGTACATGTTCTCACTGGAGAGAGAAAGAGAGGGAAAGTGAGAAAGCACCAGCCAAGTCCAGGACTCGAACTGTGGTTGGCCCTGTCAGAGTCCAGCACCTTAACCCCCATGCCACCTGCTGGCCCCAAGGTTTGCTTCTTAATTAGGGTGCTGGCTTGCAAAGCTACTGAGTCTTTGGAAGATCTTTGAACTGTGCACTGTTCCAAATCTATGTTGTGTTTCATTTTAAAACAGTAAACCTAGAAGGTCATGAAAACGAAAGTCACTCTTTCTCAAAATGTTACATATAGGGGCCAGCAGATGGTATAGTGATGCTGTTGTTGGACTTTCACATAGCCAACTGCAGTTCGAGTCCTAGGCCTGGTGGCTTCAAAGTCACGCCAGGCACTTGTGTGTGCATGACCAAGATCCTGGGAGAATGGAGGAGAAGGGATTGCAGCATGGCCATTCTCCCTGGGGGGTGGTTTCTCACTTTCCCTGTCACTTTCTGTCTCTAACCCCAGTAAGTGTATGTGCCCTAAGGCAAGAGCCTATTTTTTTAAAAAAGGAAAAAGATGCATATAAACACACAATTTACAGGTTTGTTTGTTTTTTTTTCCTTCCTTGCTCTGGTCATCGTATTTGGTACATCAGTGAGCTTATTCATAAAGTTTAAACCCGTGAGTATTGTATTCTCTGCCGCCTTTGTAGGAAGCGTGGCTTTAAGATCAGTTCTGGGTTTGAGTACCAGTTCTTTCCTTGGGCCCATTACTTAACCTCTTTGGGGCTCAGGTTTTTTACCTGTAAAATAATAATGTCACTTCTATATCTTGCCAAAAAGAGAAATTGATACTAAAGTATAGTACAGTTCCTCATACAGTATAGTGTGGACTAGACGCTTCTACATCCATCCATTTAGGAAGAAACTTAGCATGAATATTCAGGGGTGATGTTTTATACATGTTGGGGGGGGAGTGCCTATCCCTTCTCTGTTGCATTTTACTAAGTCCGTAGCAGTTAAGAGTACATCTTGCAGGAAATTGTGGAATACTAGCAGATACAATATTATCTTGGGAATGGGACCAAAGTCTAACTGCGGAATTATATTTCACATAGACCTTATATAAGGAGGCTTCAAAAAGGTCCTGCAAAAGTGGAAATAAAAAGTAAGTTTATTTTAGTATAAAACATTTTGAAATCTATAGTCTTGTCATAATACACATTTTCCATGCACATTTTGAACACTTTCCTCATGCACATAGTCTGAAGGGATTTTTCACAATATTTTTGTATTGTAACATTTGACTGTAACCCGTGGCGTAATGTCAAGTGTGGAATTTTCCACTAGTAGCATCATGCCAATACTCAGAATGTCTTGGATTTTGGAGCATTTTGTATTTCAGATTTTGAATTAGGGATGTTCAACCTGCATTTAGCAAGATTATCCCTTAGGACTATAGTCTTCAACTTGTGAGAACAAACCATTTAACAAAGCCTTTTTCTGTTTAAAAGTGAAATATGCCTTGAATGAGTTTTGACTCACTCTAGCTTGAGCAGGATTCACTCTAGCTTGAATTTTCAATGTGGCTGGTCATTTGGTGAATTCAAATACCTAAAGGACAGATACCTCTCTACCCATCGCGGCTGGAATTCAGTGGTAACTTGGTGAAAATTTTGACCAGGAAATTACCCAGGACCACTGAATTTAAGTCTTGACTTTATATTT